TGCACGAGCTACAATTATACATCACATCTCGATCTCATTGTTATACCTAAATCAATTAATTGTTGTGCTGACAATTAAAACATTAAACATACAATAATTAATTAACAATCATTAAAATGACATGAAAATCTTGAAATTAAACACATAATAATAACCTAAGTTACATCATCAATCATAACATAAAAATATTTAGCCACTCATAATGTTAAATTTAAATATGAAAAAGTGGAAAGAAATCACCAAAGATTGACGAAACGTGAAAATTTCTGACTAAAATTGAAGCCGCCTCTTTTTTCTTTCCCAAAAAAGCCACCGTGTTGCTGTGTGAATATATCTATATTTTAATCGTCAACTTTCCTCTCTCTTCCAGCTTTTGTCCGTGTGTACGTGTATATTCACCCAGCCACTTTCTTTTTCTTTCCCCAAAATTTGCTTTCCTTCCTTGACTTTTGTGTCTATATATAATATATATCTCACCGTCGGCTCCCTGCAATCTGTGTGTAAATATATTTTTTTTCCAAAACTCCGGCCCTCATGCTCTTCTTAGGTCTAAAGTATATATCGAAGCAAACGGGCCTCTTTTTTAAATTCCAGCCCAATGTTATCTTTGTCTATATATTTAATTTCAAATCGCCAAATTTTGTATCCAATTAAAAGTCCAAATTGAGGCCCAATTAATTATTTACTTCCAAGTCCAACGTACTTTGAATTTTTGCCATTTTCCCACTATTTTGCATTTTTTTCTTCAATTTTTCATCAAACATAAAGTTTTAGCTACAAAATACAATTTAACATAAATTAGGTAGTATTTAATTCAAAAGACAATAAAATATTATGATTTAGCGTCACGAATAAGTATAAAACCTACGCTTATCATGTTTTGCTGATAATTTACTCTTTTCATGAGATGAATTTATATAACTGATGAGATTGATACTGTTTTCTCTATTGATACTACGTCTTTTTCTCAAGAAACCACCATACATAATGGGAATTTATTTATGCTAAAAGCAAAAATAAAGTAAAACACAACTGGACCCTACAAAAAATGACATACAAAGTAGAGATATTTAATGGGTTTGCTTCATCCTTGAGTTTGACAATCTAAAGACTCTTCGTAATTTTTGCTGCTGTAAAAATGGCTTAGCTAAAGAATTAAAATTTAGAGTTATTTGTAATCATAAAAAACCTTCATTATATAAAATGAAAATTAAAGCTATATTTTGCCTTACGTAGCATAAAGTTTTGATGAGATTCACATTTTAACTACTTATATATTTTTTAAAATGTTTACTTCTTTATAAATTATTTTTTAAAATGTTTACTTCTTTTTAAATTAGTGAAGAAAGAAATCTCGAATTCTGTGTGAAAAAGTGGGGGTATGAAGTCTTTAAACGTTGAATAATTCTTTTGGATCATTATGGAAAACTTTCCACAATTTCCATCATGAAGAAAATAAAAAAGTTTATCTCAAAACTAGTGGAGCACAACTCTTAAGACTATCTTGTACACTTATCCTGCAGGAATCTTTTATTTCATATATATATAAATATTCACATTTGTAATTATATCAAACGCCTTATTACAGCCACTTCCCAACCTTCTTTATGCAGCCATGGGAAAAAATGTGATCTTTACGTTGCTAACAATTCCTTCTTTGCTTATCTACGTTGTTGCATCTCTCAATAGCTCCACCGATGAGTTTGCTCTTTTAACCTTCAAATATCAAATTTCTGATCCAAATAAAATATTGGCAAAAAATTGGTCACAAAGAACCTCTTTCTGTTATTGGATTGGTATTACTTGCGGCAGAAGACATCAAAGAGTTAGAGGCATACATCTAACAAATATGGGTTTGCAAGGCACTATTGCAAAAGAGATCGGTGAACTTTCTTTTTTGAGATCCTTGAGTATTAGCAACAACAATTTCCAAGGATTTATCCATCATGAAGTGGGTAATTTGATACAACTTCGAGAAATAGAAATGCAATGCAATGAGCTAATCGNCAACAATTTCCAAGGATTTATCCCTGATGAAGTGGGTAATTTGAGCCAGCTTCGAGAAATAGAAATGCAGTACAATGAGCTAAACGGTTCCATTCCATCAAGCTTTGGATTTCTTGTAAATCTACAAAAGTTAAACCTCTCCCATAACATACTAAACGGGGATATTCCTAACAAGATTTTCAATATCTCTTCTTTGATAGAAATTGATTTAGGGGACAATAGTCTCTCCGGGCATCTTCCAACAGATATCTGCACCAATCTTCCAAAGCTAGAGAAGCTAAAAATTACACAGAATCAAATAAGTGGCAACATTCCTCCGAGTTTGGGAATGTGCATGAATCTTGAACATCTTTTTCTATCGAAGAATAATTTCTCTGGAAACATTCCTATGGAAATTGGGAACTTGCCAAAGCTTCAAATTCTCTATCTAGGAAGCAATGATTTGATAGGTATGTTTAATGCATTTGTCCATACACATACATCTTCTACAATATTTCGATATGACCAATTATGTTGTTCATTCACATCATAAATATTTCTACATGCATAGTTATCTGCATGTTGCAGCCCATGGAATATGTAATGGTCTTAGAAGAATGAAATTAATATAAGAAACAGGAAAACACCTTATCATGCCTAGACTTAGCCAAAGCATGTGTGGGCTTGTAATACTTGAGTTTTGACATTGCCGCTTTGTTATGCGTCATGCCCATTAGAATCTTGATATAAAGAATTAGATATCATCACATGCTCTTAAAAGGAAAAAAAAAAAAGGATGCAATATTCAATATGACTTGATGGTACAATGGATAAAAGTTTTACTCCTTTCAACTTGGTCAAGTGTGGAACGACCCACTTACATAACATAGCAATAATAGGCCTACATATTGACAAAATTTTGTAGCTCCATCCATGTTAATCGCTGCTTTCGCTCTTATTAATTTTGGTAAATGTCAACTTACTAATTGTTAAGGGGATACTATATGCATGTGCCAGCGTGTTTGAGTCTCTGGGATTATGTGATTATCAAGGTATGTTTTGCAGGAGACATACCTTCGACCATCTTTAATATCTCTTCTCTCCTGAAATTATCAATCGGAGGTAACAAAATTTCTGGAAAGTTTCCGGAAGATCCATGCAACCGACTTACGATGATTGAATTGTTAAACCTTGGTGAAAACAAAATTCACGGAGAGATACTTCCAAGTATATCGCAGTGTCGTGCACTTCAAATTCTAGACATCTCTTACAATGAGTTCACGGGAAGTATTCCAAATGAAATTGGAACCTTATCAGCACTTCGAGTGTTAGATTTCACAGGCAATAACTTCATAGGTATTTAATTATTGACTTCAGATTAGTTGGTACTTCTTTTCCTTCATTAGATCTAATTCATGTAAAATTAACATTTGATATTTTAAAATCAATATGTTTAAATGGATTGACAGGAAATATTCCAAGTGAAATTGGAAACTTATCAGCACTTGTACGTTTATACTTGGTAGAAAACAGCTTCAATGGTACGTTACTAGATCTCTTGATCTTGTTTTATATATTAAATCTATTTCAATTTGTTATATAGTGTCTTATCAAAAGTTTATGCCAAAACTCTAAATTTAAGCCTCTGTTTCGCCAAAAATATAAATTAGTTATAAATAATCGAATTTCATTTTCAACAATATATTTCAATAGATCTACAAGTATTATCCACTTATTTACTATTCATTTATATCTATTTATAAATTGAATCATTCATAAATTCTTCCTAGACGGAGGATATAACAAATAATTTTATTTTCATGGAATAAATGAACTTTAGGTTATCATCTAGGCATTTTGACAAATGTGTTTTGGCTTGTCATGAAGATGGATACCGATAACACCATTTTAATATTTTCTTGGGTTAAATATTATTGTTGTCATTGAACTTTTGCAAATGTATGACTTTAAAAGTTCTCCAAGTTGTCACTAAACTTCCCCAAATGTATAACATTAAAATGTTATTTCATTCGTCACTCCATCACTCATCATTTTAAAACATAACAAACTTGAGGAACATACCAAAATGTTATCAATATGTCTACCACGTTGTCTAGTCCTTTAAGCTTTAAAATAGCGAGTGACAAATCGATGAATATGATAACATTTTTATAAGTTTAGAGGTAACTTGGAGAACGTTCAATGAGACTATGAAACTTTTTGGAAAGTTATGTGGCAACTTAGAGAACTTTTATACTTCAATGGCTATCAAAAAATATTTGAGAAAGTTCACTAGCGATTGAGATACTTAACCCTTATCTTATAATTATTAATTGGATTTAGTTTTTGAAGTTGTAAAACATTTGTTAGTTTGAAGACCTATTTTGCAATTTCTGTTATGGATAAGTGATTTGGATTTTCTTTATTAGCTGCAAGATGATGTTGTAAGAGTCATCTACTACAATTTTCGGACCTAAATTGGTAGTAGGTGAGCTTGGTTATTTAATAATTTATTGTTCTAAATTTATTTATACATTTGTCATTCTAAAATTAGTAATAAATAGGGGTGTAAGTGGTCCGGTTTTACCGATTTTTGGCAAATTTTCAAACCAAACCATTTAAACCGGTTTGAGAAAAACCCAAACCATTTTGAATGGTTTGAAAAAAATTCAAACCTAAACCTAATGGTTTGGTCTGATTTCGCCTTATATATGTTCAACAAGACTTCTTGATCATCATATCTGAAAAACAAAATTATTGATTAGACAGAAAAAATAACCAACCATAATAATAAATCAATTGTTTATAANTCCAAGTGAAATTGGAAACTTATCATCACTTGTAAGTTTATACTTGGTAGAAAACCGCTTCAATGGTACGTTACTAGATCTCTTGATCTTGTTTTATATATTAAAAGTTTATTTCAATTTGTTATATAGTGTCTTATCAAAAGTTTATGCCAAAACTCTAAATTTAAGCCTACGTTCGGCCAAAAATATAATTTAGTTATAAATAATCGAATTTCATTTTCAACAAATATTATCCACTTATTTACTATTCATTTATATCTATTTATAAATTGAATCATTCATAAATTCTTCCTAGATGGAGGATAGAATAGTTAGATATAACGAATAATTTTATTTTAACGGAAAATATAAATGAACTTTAGGTTATCACCTAGGCATTTTGACAAATGTGTTTTGGCTTGTCATGAAGATGGATACCGATAACCCCATTTTAATATTTTCTTGGGTTAAATATTATTGTTGTCACTGAACTTTTGCAAATGTATGACTTTAAAAGTTCTCCAAGTTGTCGTTGAACTTTCCAAAATGTATAACATTAAAAGTTGTTCAATTTGTTACTGGACTTTTCCAACTATTATTATTCTCACCGAACATTCAAAGTTCTCCGAGTAGCCACTGAGTTTACCAAAGTGTTATTTCATTCGTCACTCCATCACTCATCATTTTAAAACATAAAAATCTTGAGGACCATACCAAAATGTTATCAATATGTGTACCATGTTGTCTAGTCCTTTAAGCTTTAAAATAGCAAGTGACGAAGTGATGAATATGATAACATTTTTATAAGTTTAGAGGTAACTTGGAGAACATTCAATGAAACTATGAAACTTTTTGGAATGTTCTGTGGCAACTTAGAGAACTTTTATACTTCAATGGCTATCAAAAAATATTTGAGAAAGTTCACCAGCGATTGAGATACTTAACACATATCTTATAATTATCTTTTCATTATTAATTGGATTTAGTTTTTGTAGTTGTAAAACATTTGTTAGCTTGAGGACCTATTATGCAATTTCTGTTATGATAAGTCATTTGGGTTTTCTTTATTAGCTGCAAGATGATGTTGTAAGAGTCATCTACTTCAATTTTCGGACCTAAATTGTGAGCTTTGTTATTTAATAATTTATTGTTCTAAATTTATGTATACATTTGTCATTCTATAATCAGTAATAAATATTAGAGCGATTAATCTTTGAATCTAAAATTTTGATATTTTAAATAAATTGAATTTTTTATAATTTCAATGTTTTTGTTTAATAATAACTTTTTGAAATTTTAAATATTTGACTTTTGAATTTCTATTTTTAATATCCTAAAATCTATTCACAGGAAGCATTCCATCAGAAATTGGAAACTTATCAGCACTTCAATTTTTATATTTGAAATCAAACATCTTGACAGGTACCTATCTACTATTTAATACTACTTTTTAGATTCATTTTTGTTTGTTGACAAACACAACATTATAGGTACAATTCCATATTCAATTGGCAGTTTATCAAATTTGAAGGAATTGCAAATTGGTAACAACAGTCTTCATGGTCAAATGCCTCAATCCATCTTCAATCTCTCCATGTTGCAAATACTTGGTTTTTCATTAAATAATATCTCTGGCAATCTACCATCATCAATAGCCAGTGGGCTCCCTGATCTCCAAGAACTCTATTTTGGTGGCAATCAATTGAGTGGAGAAATTCCTGGTTGGATTTCAAATTGTTCTAAGCTTATTTATTTGCAGCTTAGTAACAACTCGTTCAGTGGACGTGTACCCATTAATCTTGGGAATTTACAAGACCTACAAAATCTAAACATAGAAAATAATCACTTGACAAATGATCCTTCAATGTTGGATTTGGATTTTCTATTATCGTTGACTAATTGTAGACACTTGACGGTCATAGCGTTTGGTCAGAATTTTTTTGATGGAATGCTTCCAAAAGTTTTGGGTAATTTTTCGACATCGCTTCAAGTGTTCCATGCTTATTCTTGTGGCATCAAAGGTGTAATTGCAAGTGAAATTGGCAACATGAGCAACTTGATCAAGCTAGATATGGGAGGCAATGAGTTCACGGGAAAAATTCCTGATGCGTTCAGTCAATTGAGGAAGTTGCAAGCGTTGTCTCTTGATGACAATAAACTGCATGGGTCAGTACCTGACAACCTGTGCAATTTGGAGAATCTTTATCTCCTAGATTTGGGGAAGAATCAGCTCTCTCAGCAGCTACCGAATTGTATAGGAAATCTTTCTTCTTTAAGCGAACTTTATTTAGCTTCCAACTCATTGACTTCAATCATCCCACCGACCATATGGACTAACACGGAACTTCAAATAATGGACCTGTCATATAATTTTCTCAATGGTTCACTGGCTCCAGAAATTGGCAGCATGATGGGAATGAGACAGTTAGATCTATCAAGAAATCAGTTCTCAGGCGAGATTCCAAGCACTATTGGGAAACTTCAGAATTTGATATATCTGGCATTGTCAAACAACCGGTTAAATGGTCCTATACCTGAGTTGATTGGTAATTTGATTGCATTGCAAACTTTGGATCTATCTTATAACAATCTCAATGGAGTAATCCCCATGTCATTGGCGAAACTTGAGTACCTTGAGTATTTCAATGTTTCGTTCAATGATCTCACTGGTGAAATTCCAAATGGAGGGCCTTTTAGGAACTTTACCTCAGAGTTTTTCATAGGCAATAGAGAATTATGTGGAGCACCTCAATTTAAGGTCAAGTCATGCAAAGATAATAGAACCAGATTAACTGTCAAGACCAAAGTTTTGAAGTACATTTTACCATCAATTGTTGTGGCATTGATTCTAGCCATTAGTTTAGTTTATTTAATAAGACGCCGTAGCAGAAATACACTTATTCCAGCTCAGTCTACTTTCCCCATCACCGTCAGGAGGATTTCGTATTATGAAGTTCTAAATGCTACCANTCAAGAGGATTTCATATTATGAAGTGCTAAATGCTACAAATAAATTTGGTGAAGAGAACCTGATTGACAAAGGCAGTATTGGTTCAGTATACAAAGGAATATTTTCAGATGGTATGATCGCAGCTATTAAGGTTTTTAATCTAGATTTGGAATGTGCAAACAAGAGTTTTGACACCGAGTGCGAAATTTTGTGCAATATTCGTCATAGAAATCTTGTCAAGGTAATTAGCAGTTGCTCTAACCTTGATCTTAAAGCCTTGGTTCTGGAATATATGCCGAATGGAAACCTTACCAAATGGCTGTTCTCGAGAAACTATTTCTTGAATATAGCTCGAAGATTGGAAATACTGATAGATGTGGCATGTGCACTGGAGTATCTACATCATGAGTATACCTCTCCAATTGTCCATTGTGATTTGAAGCCCAGCAACGTACTTTTAGATGAAGATATGGTTGCCCGCCTTTGGCATTGCCAAGCTTTTCACTGAAGACCAAAGAATTTCGATTACCAAGACGTTGGGCACCATTGGATATNTTGCAAAGCTTTTTACAAAAGACCAAAGAATTTCAATGTCCCAGACATTGGGCACCATTGGGTATATGGCTCCAGGTAAATGGTTTTGTCAGCTGTTTATATATAGAGAAATGTTATACTCATAATTATTCGTAAATTTTAATCTAACAGTATAATTACATTTCATTTAACATTGCACTTTTAATTTAATCACATATGCCAATTTTGTAGAGTATGGATTGACAGGATTAATATCGCCCATGGCGGATGTTTATAGCTATGGGATTATGATGATGGAAACATTTACCAAGAAGAAGCCAACAGATGATATGTTTGTTGGAGAGTTCACCATGAGAAGATGGGTGTTCGAATCATTCCCAGATGCAATAATGCACATAGTGGATGTGGATTTAGTACATGCAGTTGAAGACAATATTCGAGCTAAAGAGCATTGTTTTGGATCAATCATGGAACTAGCATTAGAATGCACAACTAATTTGTCAGAGGAGAGGCTCAATATGAAAGATGTTCTAACAAGGCTCAAGAAGATCAAAACTGAATCTTATTAAAGCATAAGTGAGGTGGAATAAGACCAAGAGGTTTGTTTCGTTAGAAATACATACCTTCCAATTGAACAAAATGTTGAGAATTTCTCTTTGGCGTCTGTATGTTGATATCCAATTTAGTACCGTCAATGCACACTTCTCTTCGTCTTTTATTTTTCTTAGACAATGAAGTCATTTTTCTACTTATATTCGAAATATACGTGCCCTGTGTAGATTGGATATAAATAAAAACAAATGAATTCATTATCATAGAAAAAGTTCAAAGGAATTTTGACACACACACCAAAAAGCATACACGAAATAATCTAATTGGCATATTAAATTATTTTTCTTCATTGTGGTAGTGTCAAAGAAATCACAAAGGTCCTACTTCAAGTTCAGAGTAAAATGGACCAAAAACTGGTCATATTGAAGTGTTTATTTTATTTTTGTGACTTCACTTATAAGAAAAAAATTTATATATTGTAATTATGCTCTTTCGTTTTCTTAACTGGTAGTGTTCATGCTTCCAGTTGATTTTTATTTTTTTTAATTTTTTGGAATTGTTTTGTAATGTTTAGTAGTATTTACAATCATTTGACATTTGTGGTTGGAATTTTAGTTTTTTAAGGTTTTAAGGGAGCCTATGAGTCATTTTTAAATAATTATATATGTGCATGTAATGGCCAATCCTTATATGTGTACAGTTATGTTTTTTCGGGTTCAATTATTTTTCTTTCCTTTCTATATTTATTTTGGCTGAGTTAGCTAATAGAGAATATAGTTGCTCACTATTCAAATTTTTTAGCTTCTCATTTGAATTGATCATGTTTTGTTGAAGTAGGTAATAGAATTATTGTTCAGGATTAAGTATTTTTAGATGAATAGCTATTTCTGAAAATGAAAAGTAAAAAACAAAATTAGCACCTATCCATAGTGATGTCTTGCTTCTTTTTTTTTTTCTCATTGGCATTCTTTTGCTATTTTCTAAAATATATCTATTATATTATAATCTTATTTCATGTTGGGGTTAACGGACGTCTAATAAATATGTGAACGTGGTGCTTTCATTTTACCCTCGTTGTAAATGAACTAAAACCATAAGCTATTGTAATTTATTATTGAGAATACTTAACTTTTTTAATTTCTGGATTAAATTACTATAAGTTAGTAGGTGTTAGAATATTTTCTACAGTATTTGAAATGAGCAAAATTGAGGCCTCCGAAATTGGAATAAAATTCCTAAACAATATTTTTTCGATAGTGACGCCAAAACTTTTTACAAAAAATCAACGTTATCAAAAGCGAATCTAACTTGTCAATTTTATACAATGACTAATTCAATACTAACATAAAACAGGCTAGAACTCGATATGTATTTTGCTATGTTACTAACATTCTTAAAATTTGTAAAATAGGAATATTTGATTATTTAAAAAGTTAATTAATTATTCTTTGTGTAGGGCCCACAACAAATGTGTACAACTCAGTCACAATAGGCATCCAATTTCATTGTCGTCACAAACAGCTTTTGATGATTATTATTAATTCAAACACAAATCACCAATCCGAACCTATCTCTCATTTTTTCCATTCCCTCCCATTGTACACATTGGTGGCTCCGAAATAGTTTCATCACGAGGGTGAATGTCAGAGTTATGATTCTGATCCGGGTTTCAGTTCATTTTTTGGAATTCATGCTTGTTGGTTTGATTATTGATCTGGGTTGTTCTTATAATTATTGTGTTTGCAGTTCCTTTTAGAATTCTTGATTGTTATTTTTCTATTGTGATTCTATGGATTTGTTTTGTTGATTTGTTCAGATTTCATCTTTAATTTGCATGGGCTTCCTTAAAATTTAAGTTGCATTTTCGGATTTTCTGCAAAAATAGGTATATTTGTTTAGTATTCTGAATTTTAAAATAGCAAGAATCTAAAAGGCACACCCCAAATTGCACCTAAAGTCGAATATTTTCATCAACCTAATGCAACTTGCCCAAAAAATTCGGCGTTCTCCTTGATGTGGATGGTGTTCCGAGCACTCCAGTCAACGTACGCTACCTGCAAAATAAGATCGGGGCTTTTTCCCCCGTTGTACCTCCGTCGTGAGAATCAGTAGTCGATTTTTAGGAAGTAAGCACAATGAATATGGGAATTCAAATAGTTCGGGTTTCAAGAAGAAAACTAAGTTTCTCACCTTGAAGGTATTTATAGGCACCTGTTGCTACGTGTTTGGCTGTTGCTGGTGTTCGACGTAAACTACCTTCCCTACGTTTTGGTAGAGTGACCCCCACTCTTCAAATGGTTGGTTGTACCCACGTTCGCTGTTGGGTGGTTTCCGT